GTACTAGTACTAGTACTAGCACTACTACTACTACTACTACTTCTACTGCCACTACTACTACTACTACTACTACTACTACTACTACTCCTGCTGCTGCTGCTACTACTACTACTACTGCTACGACTACTATTACGAGTAGTACTGCTACGACTAGGACCACGGCCAGTCTCGACCGCGGCCAAGACCATTACCACCACCCCTTCACAGGTACCACGACTGCAACCACAACCACTGCAAGCATGGCTCCAACGATGAGCAGCAGCGCACATGAAGCAAGAGCCCAGGCGGAGGTCTAAGGTTAGAGGTTGCCAGAGACGTGTATGTACCATCGATTCAGGAGTGCTTGTTCAGTCTAAGCACAATGCTGTGTTGCTTTTGGGTAAGTCGCTATGCGCTACTATTGCTGCAAAGATGATGCGGTGAGCTGAATTCCAGAACCGATCAGAAGAACATACACACATGGAGACATGTGCACATGTACGCAGACACATTCGCGGTATCGTAGATGACCTTTTCAACTGTAATTTGTTCGTCCGGAACTTGCATGTGTTTCTTTCTCGTGCTCCGTGGCTCTCTGGTGCTTGATGCAACTTAGCTCCTCAGCCTCGATGGCATGAAGACTTCATGAAGCTCATCGCTGAGAACTATCGTCGCATGGTGATACCTCAGATCACAGCACTGGACATCGATAGCTGGACCCAAATCGGCCGCGGAGGCGGTATGTCAAAGTGCTATCTGACATGGGACGGCGACTTCAAATGGGGAGGCGAGGACTGTTCCGTAGACAAAACAAACTAGGCACATGTCTCTCACAGCTATGAGCCGCAGCCAGGCACGGACGACATGTACATGGGGATGCTTTCCGGAGGTTTGGCGGGCATGTCGCGGCAGTGGTGGGATGAAAGCGGAGGATACGACGACAAGATGCTGGGTTGGGGAGGAGAAAACATCGACCAAGGTGTGCGCATGTGGGTTTGTGGAGGCGAGATCGTCGCTGCTCCGAATTCGCAGGTGGCACATATGTGGAGAACCGGCTCTGCGAAGACCAGCGCCCGGTACAAGCATGTTGGTGACACGGTCTACAATCGCGCCAGGGCAATAAATGCGTGGCTGGAAGAGTTCAGTGCCAAGTTGGATGATTATCCCAACTTCGCACATCGCAAAAGCTCTGGTGGAGCCAACTGGTTCGGAGAGCGGATCTCAGTTTCTGTGTTTTCACGAGCTCACGCACAGGGTCGCGGACCGACGTGAAACGTGTTCTGCATAAGGACATGAGCACCTTCAACAACGTCAAGAAACGCCTCAATGGCTGCAGACCCTTTGCGTGGTACCTGAAGCGCTTCAAGGTAGTCTACGAAGATGCGGGTCTGATTCCTCCGGAAATCTTCATGATTCGAGAGGACGGCTCTTCTTGTGCAGATGCCAAAGAGGCATTCCCGCAGCCGGCACCTGCTAGGAGCAAAGTGGGCTCTGCCTGCGCTACATGGGCGGGGCAGGAACGAGTGGCTCCGGATCCGAGGGTGTGAGGCCGTCCCGTGGCCCGGTCCAGAGCTGAGTTTTCTGGTTTCGCCCTTTCTGGCGGAGGCTTGAAAACTGCGATCAGACCAACCACCGCTTCTTCTGGCACCTGGGGAATCGCAACAAGCCTTTCGGTTGCTTTTGGCACCGTAGAATGAGTGTTTCTTGAATTTGAAGCTTCAGTGTGAGCTGAGGAAAACAAAGCCAGCTACCCAGCTTTTCAGGGGCCTTAGCACTTCCATCGGAGGCTGCACTGCTGTGGGAACAGGTTCCGCGCGCATGTCTCAGGAAATGCTGCAGCGGCTTGAGGGCCTGGAACACCGACCAGTGCCTTCAGGACTTGGCACGTAGCAAGACTGTGATGACAGACCATTTTCGGTTTGGGCCCGTCCTCTTGCTGGCCTTCGTGTCAAACCTCTGCTCAATGTCCATAAAGCAGGGCGGCCAATCAGGCGGACGCGGAATCACTGGCATTTGCATCCTGCATGCAACGGATTGTCCTACAAGTACAGTGCGGTCAATGTAATCATGTAATCTTATGCTTCATCACTGCCGAGGCGAGCTGTCTGGAACGAACCCTTCTCAAGCTTGGTCATTGACGAGCGCAGCTTGGACGGAGGGATGTGGCTGCAGCGCTGGAAACATCATATCTGCAGTTGCCCTTTCATCGAGCTCTGTGTCTGTTGCTCAGGACGGTCTTCTCAAAAAGGGTTCGAGCTGTCTGGGACCAGCCAACACTCAGACACCAGGCCTGAAAGAGGCAAGCTACGAACTACCCCATGAGAGCCCACTGTGACAGTGAGTTCTTGCGCTGGGAGCCAGGCACCCTGCGTATCATTCCGGAACAAGGGCGGCTCGAGGCATCTTTCCTTCCGACGGATGATGCTCATGCAGCTTAGCAGTGCCTGGAGGTTCTCGAAGATGAGCTCCCAGATTCCCCTTGAGACAAAGCTTTACCGAAAGGCACAGCAGGAACATCCCGAGGCACCCGGGCTGGACAGGCAAAGGAACCAGCTACATTAATGATAGTAATGAATCCTGGGGAGGTTTTCGCCCGCCTCAACGCGGAGCTCAACGTAGACGCACCTTCGGACATGCCCAAGCGGTGCTTGGAACCAGGCGAGCTTGTGTGATAGGTCAGAAACTCTGAAATGTCAAAGAGACTTTGTTAAAAAAAAGTGGGGTGTTGATTGCCTTTGTGAGCACAATGAGCCCGAAGCGCTGCACGATTGCCAGCGAGCTCGAAGCTGCAGGCAGAAGCTGCATCAAGCTGTACTGGAAGGGCAGCACTCAATGTCTCGATGCCGAAGCTCAGTGGGTGGAGTCACAGGACAAGCTGTTGGCACAGATAACGATCAATGCAAAAACGATGCGAGTGTCCAGGAAGACTGCGGCTACTACATCTATGAGAACCAGGGCTTAAAGCAGGCCGAGACAATGGCTTGCTTGGACACGTGGTCTGACGAAGTGGCTTGGCTGCTTTGTTTTGACGGGCATGATCTGCAGAGAGTAGCAGACAGAGTATCTCGAGTGTTGAGGACGTCAACACCTGGGGTCTTTACGAATGTCATGGCGGCAACAATCAGAAGTTCGTACAGTCCGACGGACAAGTCTTCTGCGCATACGTTGACATTGGGAGTGAGCAATGCTTCGAGGGCCGTGCCAAGTGAGTCGAGCTATGCCTCCTCGGAAAGCACGCCATGCGAATGCCTCGTCACGATCCCCTGCTCGTGGAGATCCGCGGTCCAGGAAGACCTGGACCGGCTTGGCGCAGCGCACGCAGCGCACCGACGCGCACGGCGTAGAAAAGCAACGCGTCCGACTGCAAGCCGGGAGGGGAGGGGTGCATGAACCAGAGCTGGTCCACGATTTGTGGCACTCTGCCCCGACCAGTTCGTGACGGTGGTGCTCAAAGCTGCCAAGCTGCGCGAGGAGGCCCAGACCATCCACGAAGGCACCATGGTTGCATCATGCAACGTCTTGAGTACCAGTAGCAGAGCTGTGGCCGTGGGCGATCTCGGTTCAGGCTCGGACGGCCTGCAGCGGGCGATTGTTGAGGCCTCCCGGACCTGCCCCGAAGTCCGGGAGAAGCTGCGACCCGACCAGGCCGAGAACGAGGTAGAGATGCTCGCTTTCTTGCTGGAAGAGGCGGGTCGAAAACTCATGCGTCTCTGAGCCGACCCACGCATTTGTAGGCGGACTCTTCTGAAGCAGAAGTTCTCCTTGAGATGGAGGCATCGACGGCCTCCCTCAAGCTTCTTTAGATTGTACAGCTCTGGTCTCTGAGGCACAGCTGCAAGAGCCCAAAGCACCCCTGGTGGCAGCACACCTCCGTGCTCAGATCGCAGAGCTTCAGGGCAGGAAGCACGGTCCTCAAGATTTTGCAAAGAAACACAAACGGATGCCCACAGTTCCACAGCTTAGGCAGCGGTCCCTGAGCCCACCGGATCGTGAGGGTCATGGCGACGGAGATGGTGAGGGCTCAACATCGTAGAAGTGCGCTGCGCTTCCTCCTTGCCAATCTGTTTTTGGACAGAGGCGCCAAAGATTGTGCCCGTCCTTGTAACATAGCTGGAGAGACCTTTCAGATGTGAACAATCCTTGCACCTCGCCTTTGGTATTGATTAGTCCAAGCTTAATCGCAGAGGATCCATCATTGGAGCCGAGGATCATCGGCTCAAGTCCAGTTTGGATCGCACGAACCAGCTAGAAGGAAGCTTGCACGGGCCGTCGGATTAGGGTTAGTTCGGCCAAGATCCGACTCAGAGACCCCGCCTTGAGCCAAAACCCTGGCTTGCATTTCAGAGTCCTCAAGATACTGGGCGCCAATGCTCGCGTTCCTGCTTGGTCCCAGCGCCACCTTCAGGCAGACTGCTGCGTACGAGCTTGATCCGACAATGGCTGCACTTCAACACTGGAAGTACCTAAGGCCTATACTAGAAGTAGCTACTTGCCCGTTTACAGTGCAGCTACCTGTTCGTGCAAGGGCTTACAATTTTATCCAGTCTGTCCATGCATCTACTGTTCTCTATCTAGCTTCTCCGTGCATCTATATTCTTTCCACCTGGACAGTTTCCAGTCTGTCTGCCTGTCTGTCCGTCGGTCGGTCTGTCTGTATACCAGTATCTATCCACAAGTTTGCGTCTCTGCATCGATTTGTGCGTGTGTCTATCTCCGAGTGTTGCTACACCACCATGGGTCCTGGTTCCCTTATTCACTCTTGTTTCACACATATACATATACATACACACAGGTATATACAGAGACACTATCATGTTATACATTTAGTGTATATATATATATATTATATGTGTACTATATATATATATATACAGATAGACAGATAGATAGATAGATAGATAGATAGATAGATAGATATAGATGGATAGATAGATAGATAGATAGATAGATAGATAGAGAGAGAGAGAGAGAGAGAGAGACGGGCCAAAGGCCTGAGGGTCGAGTGATCGACCCCTACGCCCCGCAGAAAAAAAAGAGAGAGAGAGAGAGAGGAGGACGACGACGACGACGACGACGACGACAACGACAGAACACCACTAGGGGCGAAGAGGCACCCCCAAGTGAAGGAGGAGGTACCCACTGCGCAGCTACGGCACCAGACCCCTTGGACAGTGGGCACAGCAGCGTCAGTCAAGAAGTGCAGACGCCACCCGCCTCTGAGGGCTCAAGTAGTGTAGAGTCACACAGGCGCAGGCGGCTCCACGCTCACTTAAGTTGAGCTGGCCGGCAGAGGTACGAGCGTGTAAGTGAACGTTGCGCTCAGGTGTGTCATGTTGAATTGTATACCCAGTCAAAGTCTACAGCAAATGCCCTCCCAGGAGCAAGTGCGCCTGCTTGTTGCCGTAGCCTAGGCGTGACGTCCAGTTCTGCAGAAGCTCCGGGAGGGCACCAGTTCAAAAGCTTCAGGGTTGAATGGAAGGTCGAGGTGAGTGCGGGGGTGAGGCTTCAGTTCGGGATACAGGCAGGGCTCAGGCAGGTGAGGTTGGGGTACCCAAAAGTAAAGGCAAATCCGCGGGGGCACACAATGATGACTGCTCTTTTTGTATTTTGGAATGTTTCTCTGTTGTGGACTGCTCCCACGGAGGCACACAAGCCTTTCAGTACGGCCAAACGGTTGTAAACACGTACAGTTGAGCCCCTTCAGTGAAGATGATGGGGGAGCGCGGACGCGCGGGGAGTGGGGGCTGCCCACTTCTCTCACCCCTAGCAAAGCAAAGAGAGAGAGAGTCTCAGTATGTGGACGTCTTGGTTTATTCTCTTCTGGGTTTTCTGGTTTACTGATTTGTTGGCTCAGCGACAAAAAGCAAGAGGATCCGATGCAGGCAGTGACCTCAAACTCGATATTCATTTAGCATAAATATCAACTTCACTGTAGTCGTAGACAAGAGTATACAGAAAACCAGAAGTATAATGATATGCATAGCTACAAAGATGTTACGACTCGAAAGATGAGTGTATCTACACGGATGAACTAAGATGTAAATACAAGCGGAGGTACAACATGTCTGCAGCTAAAGCTATGGCTATAACCATGAACATGAAAGTAAGCACAAAGATACAGAACAATCTAGATAGATCGACAGGTAGATAGGTAGTTAGATAGATAGATGGACAAGCAGGCAGACAGAGGACAGCTAGATAGATATATGCATAGATAGATGAGACAGATAGCTAAGCGAGAAATATATGCAAGCGTACAAACAAGTGGTTAGACAACTATTAAATGCAAGCCAAAAAAAGCAACTGCACGCACAACTGAAAGCAACATTAGAAACAAAAACATCTAAATCACAGGTAAACAGAAACGAACCAATAATTTTATGACACAAATACATTATCTTAAAAATGAACAAGCACATAGATAAAGTAACCGTATACGTATACATATATATATATATGTATATTTACACACCTATTTATACAGAAGAGGAGGCTGTGGGGCCTGCGTTTTTCTGTATATATATATATATATATGCGAATGCATATATGCATGCACACACACATCCACTTACATACATACATACATACATACATACATACATACATACATACATAGATACGTACATACGTACATACATACATACATACATACATACAAACATACATACATACATACATACATACGTACATACATACATAG